TCCGCCCGCGCCCGGCCCGCACCATGGCGGGCATCGCAGCCAAGCTGGTGAAGGACCGCGAGGCGGCCGAGGGGCTGGGGTCGCACGAGCGAGCCATCAAGTACCTCAACCAGGACTACGAGGCGCTGCGGAACGAGTGCCTGGAGGCCGGGGCGCTCTTCCAGGACCCCTCCTTCCCCGCCCTCCCGTCCTCCCTCGGCTTCAAGGAGTTGGGACCTTACTCGAGCAAAACTCGGGGCATCGAGTGGAAGCGCCCTACGGTAGGCGGCGGGGCGGCGGGTGCCCGGTGGGTGGGGTGCAGGCCCCGAGGCGCGGGGCCGGGGTCGCCAGCCAGGACCATGCAGGCCCCAGGGCCCCCTCCAAGCTGGGTGACCACCCCCCCCCCGCATCCGCGCAAAGCAGGTTCCCGGGGTGCAGGCTGCGGCCGGCCCAGAGGTCCGTCCCCTCCTCCACCCACTGCGCTTCACAAGGGACCCCAGGGGTTCACTGGGGCCCCCACGCCCCTCCCATGTGCGGGCCAGGGGGGCTGCCTTCGGGCTTAGCCAAAATGTAGGCCGATCCGGGAGGCTGGGGTGGAAGTTTGGAAGAACTTTAGTCGGGGTGAGGGTGGGAGGTGACCGGATTCTTCTGGAGTCTAACTGGAATCCCTCCTGGCCAGGGACTGGAAGGTAAAGGGCCCCAGGGGCTCCAGGGGCCCAGTGCTGTCTGAGAAAGGCTGGGCTGCAGCAGCCATCCTAGTTAGGTTTTCCCACTCGAGTTTCTTGTTTATCTTTGCAAAGGGCAACCAACAAAAACCTCCCCTGATGTGTAATCTGCTAGCTAATGAAGTACAGGAAATGCTCTTCCAGCTGGTCACTCCCGCAGGCCCACCTAGGAACCTCAGCACTGCTTCGAAGCCTCAGGCTCCCCCAGCCCCCCATCCTCCCTGCCCTGGGACACCTTTACCCGTCCACTAAGTCTTCAGGGAAGTGGAAACGTCCATAACTCACGCACTCTCTCCCCTCTGAGAAACTTCACCCTGCTTGTCCACAACACCCAGAGAAGTCTCCTGGGTAATCTCACTTCTAGATTTTTTGTTTAAGAGAATAAGTCTTCTTGCCCGCTTTGGGTAGCCCTGAGCCTCCCAAAATGCAGCTGGTCAGAGCTGGACAAACACTGTATACTGGGAGGCTAAACACCTGGGTTTTCATCCTTGCCAATCTTCTATGTGTCCTTAGACCAATCACGTACCCCCTCTGTGCCTCATCTCTTCATTTAAGCTGTGGCGTCTGTTTTCTGACTTTTCTAGCTCGCCGGGCCCAGTTCTTTCCTGTTCAGGGCCTTTTCACCTGCCAGCCATGCACACTCAAATTCTTTGGGGCTTTGTCAGAAGGCTCCTCCCCTCCCCAAAAGAGCCTTTCCTGCCCATTCTCAGCAGCTGCCCCACCCCACCCCCACCGGGTGCTCTCTCACTGCGGAGTTCACAGCATTCTCACCATGTAGAAACACAACTGCCTGTGTTTATTTGTCCTTCTGCTGAACTCCAGGGACCTTGGGTACATTATCTACCTATAGCTTAGCGCTGACAGGGACTAAGAGCAGCCATCGGTTCATTCATCAGTATTGAGTGCTTATTTTACATCAGGCCTTGTCCTACAGTGATTAGAAAGAATGAACTAATGAATTAAAATTGTAAGGAGCTTTGAATGAAATTCTGGTTGTGAAAAATGATATACAAGCAAGAGAAGGTGTTCACCTTATATTTGCATGGCTCTCTGGAGTGTACCTAGTGAATTCACACACTCCTTCCCTTACACTTTCATTCAGGCAGTAAGCATTTATTGAACAACTACTATATTGTAGGTACACTATTATATTTGTCTTTTGTCTTCAGAGACCTTAGGGGAATAGGAGAGACAGAGTGTCCCCCATCTTACAGGTATAAATACCTGTGGGACTTGTGGGAGGAGAACTGGAGATCTAGAGCCAGTTGAGGGTCACTGCCTAAGGGCAGGAGGGCTGTGGCTTACACACCCAAAAAAAGTGTGATCATTACTCTACCCACCCAGTAGTTGAAGAAATTGAGGCTTGGGAAGGCCATTTGTCCAGAATGAAACAGGTATGCAGGGTGGAGCCAGAGCTAGGCATTGGCCTTTGTATGGTTAGATCCCTTAGTTACTTTACCTGCTCAGAGTACTGAGCACCTGCTCAGTACTCTGGCAACAGACAAGGAGAATCATCAGGTTTCCACTGGAGGTGGACATGAGCTGGTCAGAGTGACTGTAGCAGACCACTGCAGTAGAAAGTGGAGGGAGAAGCTAGATTGCTGCAGACTCCAGAACAAGAGAACAAGAAATGAAGAATGCGGGCTGGGAAGATGGCTCAGTGGTAGAGTGCTTGCCTTGCATGCCTGAGGCCCCTGTCCCAAAGACCTGCAGCCCTTGAATACACTTAACACTGTTAGAAAACTGAGCCATGGCCGGGCGCTGGTGGCTCAAGCCTGTAATCCTAGCTACTCAGGAGGCTGAGATCTGAGGATCGCGGTTCAAAGCCAGCCCGGGCAGGAGAGACCGTGAGACTCCTATCTCCAATAAACCACCAGAAAACTGGAAGTGGCACTGTAGCTCAAGTGGTAGAGTGCTCGCCTTGAGCTGAAGAGCTGAGGGACAGTGCCCAGGCCCAGAGTTCAAGCCCCATGACCGACCAAAAAAAAAAAAAAGAAAAGAAAACTGAGCCATGTCAGTAGTAAAGCAAAGAAAGAGCAGACAAACAATTCCAACAAACCAGATCAACCCCAATGGAGAGCTGAAATAGGATGCCATGGTGACTGAAGGAGAGCCAGGAGATGGGAGACAGGGGGATACAAGGCATGGCCTGATGGTGCCTGAGCTAGTTCAGACCTAAATAGGGTCAGGTCAGGGGGCAGGATCACAGGGGGCTTGAGAATTCATGACCCAAGACTGGCAGGTCCAGTAACCTTGTCCAAGTCCCCACCCCTGCCTCTAGGAATTCAGGCATGCCCATCACCTGGGAGGTGGGACTTCCCTGCCTCTACCATGAAGACAAGATGGTACCAGTTAGACCCAATACGGTATCACTCACCATGTAGCCAAGATGATGTGGTTTAGATCCAGTATCATTATTTCATTATCAACTTCATCTTCAGTAATAATAGTCAATGATTATGGGGTGTTTTGCAAGACACATTGGAAAGTTATCTCAGTTCACTTTCAGAACAATCCTCTGTTGTAGGTATATTTGTTATCTTCAAATCCATTTACAGATAAGGAAACTGAAAGGTTCAAGAGCTTAAGTAACTTGTCCTGTATAATAAGCAGAGGGATGAGATTAACCCATACACTATCAGAATCCAAGGCACAAGTCCTTTTCTGCTGTTACATTCATTATTATTTAGCTTTCTTCCCCTGCCCCTCCCTTCCCTGAGCCTTTGCACAGGATTCACTTTTCTGAATCCTCTCTAGACTCCAAAGTGTGAAGTTTGGCTTCTCTAGAGAGGCTGCCAATGACATGGGGCAGTTTCTAGAACATAATGGAAAAGCCCTTCTGGCATATGAGCCTGGTCCCTCAGGGTGCTCAGTATGATTCTCTGTGATAAAGAAGCTTCCAATACCAGCAGTTCTGTCTGCTGGATAAGAGCTTGGCTGGCAGGCTTCGTGCAAAGTTGGGTTTATTTTCTGGGGCAGAAGAGCTTTCTCATTGTCCCTGCATTCCCCAGACACACTGAAGGGAGGTGTGAAAGGAAATGTGCCATACATGTAGGCGAGATGTCAAGATGGGTCTCTGAGTCTGAGCCAGGATGACTTGAGGCTGCGCTAGGGTCACCTGGGAAAGACTTACACTTGACAGAGAGGGGTGCCAAGGGGTATGCAGTGAGGCTCACTCTAGCAGATGTGGCACTCCTACAAACCAACGCCACCTGAGCCAAGAGAAGCCCAGATTTGGGCCCTGACTTCTATTGGGGTTTGGGGTGGAGCTTTTCACAACCAGGCAGTGCCCTAGGAGAGGGCTGCTGGAGGGCAGGATTGTTCAGACTAGCTGCAAGAAGGCTGCTGTGTAAGTTACCCCTGAGATTTTGATGCTAATCCATTAGAGGCAGCTCAGGTGTGGAGTGTTTGCTCTTGAGACCCACGAGTTCAAATCCCAGGGCTCCCTACGGCTGAGGCACTGTGCATCTTTGAGCACACCACTTTTCTTCTCTGAGATATTCCTTTACCGGTGAGATGGGAATTTTACCCACCTTGGGTTCCCAAGATGGTTACATGAGATAAAGCTCCAAGTGCTATGTCAGGTATAAAGTAGGTAACAGAATATGGGGATATTCCACGTAGCATCCCTGTGAAAGAATTCTCAGGGGCAGATCCAGTCCCTGCCTTCAAACTTATGTGTTAGGATGATGAGAATATCCACAAGCGCCACCAGACTGTACCAAATTAAGTAACCAGTTGCAGTGCAAAGACCCTGGGGACAATACTTGAAGGAATGAAGGGGGATGGAATATGAAGGAGGACTTCATGGAAGAGGTGACTAGGACCTTCCAAATATCGCCCATTGTGGAAAACATGATGGGAAAAGGAGGAATTCCATGCAGACCAAAAACCTTGCATGCAGAAGAGTGAAAGAGGAAGGGTGTCATCATAGAGGGTAGAGGGGCTGTGGAGTGTAGCGGGTCTCAAGGCCTGATGGACCAAGCTGACTTGGCACTGCCATAGGCCCTGGGAAACAGCGTAGTGATGTAGGCTGTGGACTGTTGGAATGTGTGAGGTTCAAAGATATCTTGTCTAATCAGGGTGGGTCACCCACCCTCAACCTCCTAACAGGATGTATGGAGCAAGGTCAGCAGGACCCCACTGTACAGGCTTTCACTCTGACTACAAAACTTTCCCCAGAGGAAGGGGAAGGGGAGGAAGGAAAAAGGGTTTGCAAAGCCCTCTGGGGCTTGCACTGCCTGGTAAGCTGACGGCACTCTGTGGGTCTTGTTCCCAGGAGATCTGCGCCGATCCCCAGTTTATTGTTGGAGGAGCTACCCGCACAGACATCTGCCAAGGAGCCCTGGGTAAGTGGTGGAACTGGGGCAAATCATAGTGGAACATCTACACGCTTGTGGCCAGCAGGGGTGGGGGACACTGGGGTGGCTTCTTTCCAAGCTGTATGGTGATTTCTGTATGTATGGGGGCCTTTCTGGGGGCTTCAATATCTCAGCCCCATGTCCAGACATACAAATGGGGTCTTCTGCACTCCCTACTCTGGAAGAGACACTGAGGTTACAAAATTCTACCACTAAAGAAACCAAGGGGTTTCTGGACTTTGCCCCTTGGTCTCTGTACCTTTTTGAGGACCAGTATAACTAGTGATGGCAGGAAACTGGCTCTAGGCTGAGGGTGGACTAGAAACTCCCCTAAGCCAGTGACAGTACTAAGCCTTCAGTCCTGTGCGGTCAGGACGTGATGGTGACTCAGTGTGAAGGAAGAGGAAACTCAGAAGCTGGTTGCTGGAGGAAGTAGAGGGGTTTGGTAGAGTAGCTTGCTCCTCATGGTAGCACAGGAGACAATGCAGTGGTAAATATGCTGGAATGTTGGAGACTGTTCTGTCTGGACAAGTTGTGATAGGCTTCTGGACATGTGTTTGTTCAAGACTGGACTCCTGAGATCCTCTAGCATCTCTGCCAGCTCTGGAGGCAGCTATAACATCTCAGGAATGGGGTCTGGATCTATGTAAGATCCTCAGAGAATCTACCCTTAATTTTTTTTTCTTATCCATGATAAATGTGAGCCTGTAACCAATCAGAGCAGATGATTTGCTCTGATAAGCCAAAAATCTGTTCCTTGTCATCAGCCTCAACCAGTCCCACTCAAGGCAAGGTCTGAGTGAATCCTTAAGACACCTTAAGGTGTGGCCTCTGAGAAAGGTCAGGTATGACCCAGGCCTGGAGGAATAAATTCAGGTTAATCTAATATTGACTCTGTGCAGATTCCTGAGATGCCGTAAGAGAGAGGACCAAGGGGCCTTGGGTCCATAAGTGCTACTCTATAGAAATCCATTGGTTAGTAAAAAAATGAAATGAACAGGGCTAGAAGTGGATAGACTGACCATCCCCCGCTGGAAGTTGCCAGACTGACCATCCCTGGGGCTTTGGAAAATCCAGAGACAAACACAGCAATAAATACCACTCCTAGGCTAAACATCTACTTAAAAGTTTAACAGCATTGTAAGGACCAAATTTCAGGTAACAAGTACATGATTTTTAGTTCTATTTAAATTCTACCAGGTCATATGGGAGGGGACAGGCAAAGCTGAAAACCCTCAAAATATCTTCTGTATGCATAGAACTGAATAAACCAAGCTAAATGTAAACCTTTCAAAGATGTTTCAGTAACTGACATAACTTCTCAGATTTTTTTTTGGGGGGGGAAGGGTTATATTAGCCTTTCTTGTTTCTTGGCCTTTTATTTTAGAAGATCCTGGTTAGATTATAAGCGGTAAAATGTGGTTTACTGAACTCTTACCCTGATTATGGCATCTGGGTGCAGGGCAGCGAAGGGGTGGAGACATCACCAAGTCCCAACAGGCTCAGAAACAACGGAACAGGGGCTGTGGCAGCAATATGAGGCCCAACAATGACAGCATTTGGGGGGCTGGGGCCAAGTCATCATTGGAAACCTCAATCTCTCACAACTGCCAAGGGAAGGTATGTCAACCAGGTGACCCCAAGACCCTTATCAAGCTGGCACTCAGCTATTACTTCTTGCTCCTGACTAGCTGATTCTTATTCCTTGAGCAAGAAGCTTACAATGTGGTGAAGGTATGATTCCAGAGGTCTGCCTTGCAAGCTTGAGGCTTGTATTCAGCACCACCGGTACCGCTTTGACTTTATTGTGTTATCTCATGCATTCAGCCCAAGTATGAAGTAAATATTTTCATCCCGACCATGCAGATAAGAAACTCAAGCACAAAGCAGGGAGGGTATATGCAAAGCTGAACCCTAGTAACTGCTGGAGGAACAAGCCCTGATCTGATTTTAAAGACTGTGTTCATACCTGGCCCCATGTTGCCTCTGAATCACCGGGATGCTGAGCTGAGCAAAGATGTTTTGTTTTCTCTATGTGGGCTTTCTACTCTGCAAAGCACTCAGTTAGTGTACTCAGCTTAACTGGATGACACTCTTAAAAGCTGGTATATCTCCCAGAGCCCTATTGCCTTTACTATGCTGCCCAGAAGTGGTTCCCCACTAACCCCTACCCTCTTTCCCAGAAGGCTCAGTTTCTAGGCCTCCCACATGATTCCAGCCATGTTTGCAGAGCTTTCTTGACAATGAGCCACCTGCAGTACACAACACAATTATGCCAGGAATGGAGTCAGCAAAGAAAAACAAGCCCTTCTGGATAAAAGGCTGGAAATGCAGGCTAAGCCTCAGCCAGACTGGACCTGCAGCCAGATGTGGCTCTGTAATTGTTAGTAGTGACTGACTGTGCCCCTGGGGATGAATATGAGGTGGCCAACTCTGTCACAGCTGTTGAAGCAGCACAGCCCGTGTTCTCTGGGCCCTTTAGAGGTGGCCTACCCCAACTTACCCTCAAGAACATCCACTGGGTACCCCTCCTAGCAGCCTCCCTCCACCCTCATCAGAGAGACTAGGGGACCAGGCTAATGGGGAAAACACTCAAAAGAGTGGAGTTTCAATATCTGTACTTGGCACTGCTGATGAGCTAGTAGAATTTTGGACAGGTTACTTGACCTTACTGAGGCCCAGTTTACTCTTCTGTAAAATTGCAATACATAAAGCCCTTAACTTACCTTGGTTTGATGTACAACTTTTCAACTTTACAGTAGTATGCAAGGCAGGCAAAAATAAATAAATAAACACCATACTTTGAATTTTGATCTTTTCCCTTGCTAAGAATATGCAGTCTGATAGCCTCACAAATGTTGGGCAGCTACAGTGAGACACAGCTCCCAATCAAGCCCATCACCATGAGGAGAAACAACTGAAACACCATTCTACAGGGTACTGTGCTGAACACAATAAACATGAGATAATGCAACACTCTGTACAATAGGCTGTATGTTCTGGGCTGTTACCCAACTGTATGCAAATATAAGTGTAGGCTTTACGTGTACATTTATGGCAGGGTAGACTAAGCTGGGGTCTCTGGTAGGCTGGGAGTATTAGGCGTATCTTTGACTTTGGTTATGTTCAACTTACAATGTCTTCATTATGATGTGACCCCATAGAAAGTCAAGAAGCATTTATGATGGTAACAATTCCCTTCCTAGGGCTGGAGAAAAGTGAGATTATATAGTAGTAGTCAGGATGCTGTGGAATCTTGAATGAGTTGAAGTCCATTTGTATGAAAGTCCTGTCACCAAGTTACAGAAGAGAGAGAATGAGGAGGAAAAGAAAGTAAGTTGGGTAGGAAACCAGATCCTTGTCCTTTGAGAAGCTCTAAGGGTAAGGGTGTTAAAATGGGGAGGGGTGCCCTGAGCCTGTGCCCGACTAGCACACAGGAAGTACAACTCAGAAGATGGAATTTGCGGGTGCTTCTTTAAAAGATAATACGTGTAGTTTAAAAAGAAAATGATGATGAGAAGAAAATAGGCCTTACCAGGTTTGGTAGAGAAAGTGAGTCTATTCATTTTTCTCTTCAAAAAAAAAGAGATTGCTTTACTCCAGCCCCAGCCTCACCCCCAGCAGAGGCCCTTCCCAGAGTCAGAGTAGTTGCCAGAGTCAGTATTGCCTCTGCTTCCAGTGGAGTCTGTTACCAATGCTCTGCTCAGCCTTCCTCCCTTGGGGCTGCTGTCAGCACTCACAGAACTTCCCTGCTGCTCTCCATCAGCTTGAGAAGCAGGCCAGGGGTGAACCGCTAACCAGAGGGCCCTGTGCTGGCCTGACTGACCCCAGGCTATCCCATCCACTCTTGGCTCTCAGACAGCAGGGTTCCAGCTTCAAGCAGTACCTAAGTGAAGAGCTGCCCCTGGCTATAGAGCTAAGGTGGTGGGAACTTCCTCCAGAGCTCCTCTGCCCCCACAGGTACCTGGCGAATGGCAGGGGTACTACAAGGTCCCCACTTGCTACCTGCCAACTTGAGGGACAGGATGGGACTTTTCACTTATCTGTGCACACCCTCAGCTTTACCACCAGTTTCCTGTGGCCAGGAGCCATGCCACACCCTGTATGGCTCAGTGTTCTCATCTCTGAGATGAGAGGGTAGGGTCAGATTTTCCTACAGCCCACACTTCCGACATTCTCTCTGACTCAAAAATCTGTTCCCTTCCTCTACAACTCTTTGCAATTCCTTCAACCTTCAACTCTACTCATACTTCTGAGTAATGCCTTTGTGCCATTGCTTAGCATCAGTGCCCAGCAATATCAGCCACAGAAAGGTCTTTAGCAAGGGGTTAGAAATGAAGAATTGCTGCGTGCTGATGATTCATGCCTATAATCTTAACTACTCAGGATCAGAATATTAAAGTCAGCCCTGGCTGGAAAGTCCATGAGACTCATCTCTACGATTAACTACCAAAAAAGCTGGAAGTAGAGCTGTGGCTCAAGTGGTAGAGTGCTAGCTTTGAGCACAAAAACTCAGGGACAGTGCCCAGGCCCTGAGTTCAAACTCCAGGAAAAACAAAATAGAGAGGGAAGGAGGGAGGGAAGGAAGGAAAGAGAAAGAGAGAAAGAAAGAAAAGGAAAGAAGGAAAGGAAGGAAGGAAGAAAGAAAAAGAAAGAAAGACAGAAAGAAAAAAAGAAAGAAAGTTTAATATTAGCACAAATTTTGATACCACATGGGGATGGGGATGGGGATGGGGGTGGGGGTAATGGAATGGGCAGGAAAGGAATTTTCTAGTCAGCAGACTCCAGAGTGAGAGTCAGGAATCGGTTCCAGCAAACTGGTCTCCCTCTCCCTCCCCTTTTAGGGCCTCCCCTTCTGCATGTCCGGAGAGGCTGGAAGCCTTGGGCAGGGGCAAGTTTGGATTTTTTGTCTCTGGGTGCTCAAGACCTCCCTAGTAATAAGGAGGGGTCATGAATAAAACAGGGTTCTTTACCCTCTCCACCCTGGT